GATATCCTTATGTTAATCCTACTATTTTGAAATCATATAAAAATATAAGAAAAATGTAGTGTTATATATTTCTTCCTAATTTCAGATTCCTGGTCAAAATTAGTGAATATCTTGAATGTAATTTATTGCAAAGTTTAAGTAAAGTGTAAATGTGACTAGGATATTGTGTTTTTCACAACTAAGAAATGTTATGTGGAAATAAATATTTATCCTAACTAATTTTCTTGCACATTTTAAATTGTGATTCAAGTGTCTTGTCTTTTTTCCTCTGCATTGACCTGTTTCTTTAGACATATAGCTATAACATAATGTGATATACAATAAATTGGTAGTATGATTAAAGCAGTGAATAATTCAAGGTTGGAACTACTTGGAGTAGGGCAGAGTTTGAAGAAAATGTTAGATAAGAGGTAGCATATGAATTAGGATGGATATGGGAAAGGAAACCTACTCCAAGAACTGCAAAGATTCTCAAATACATGTCCATATTGAAATAAAAAAAAATAATTAAAGTATGTGTGATAACTAGCCAACAAGCAGCCCGATATGGTGGAGTGTTAGGAGGGGAGTGGAGACCGTGAGAAAAGGTAGAAACACAGTTGAAAACATTATAAGTGGTGTTAACTTCTGTATTAGAATATTTGAGTTTTGAGTAATGGTGATACATGAATATTTGGAAGATTTGTTTGGCCACAGAGTAGAGAGCATTGTGGGAGAAAAGTGGAATCACTTCCTTAGGGATGCTGCTCCCAGGATGGTTCTCCAAGGCTCAAACCAAACTCTGTGAGTGGTCTATAAACTTCTATTAAGACTGCATCCAAAGAGACTGAAGTGTACTCCCTGGGTACTTAGTAGGTCACTCCAGATATAATAGCTATATTATAAATCCTTTTATGTAGAGCATTCCTTTAGATAATGTGTTTGAGTTCTACTTGGAAATAAATGTTTTGAAAAACATGATATCGCCCTGGCTGGTTTGGCTCAGTGGATAGTGCGTTGGCCTATGGACTGAAGAGTCCCGGGTTTGATTCCAGTCAAGGGCACATGCCCAGGTTGTGGGCTCGATCCCAAGTGGGCGGGGTGGGGGTGGGGGTGTGAGCAGGAGGCAGCCAATCAGTGATTCTCTCTCTCATCATTGATACTTCTCTCTCTCTCTCTCTCTCTCTCTCTCTTTCTCTCTGAAATCAATAAAAATATATTTTAAAAAAAGAAAAGAAAAGCATGATATCACAGTAATCCTGAGACTGTTGAAGAAATCTCAGTGTAGTACAAAATTCAGCCAGTGGCTGGTTCATCTGGGCCTAGAGGCCACCTGCTCCCACCCATACTTAAATTCTCTTCATTACATCCATTTTTACCATGGACTCAGCTTTGTATCTACATAGTCTTGTCATCAGATGCGGGTGTAGTCATAGATGTCTGCCATGTAACTTACTTCTGCCATTTGTTTATAAGCTCCCTGAAGGCAGGAATAGTGTTTATCTCTCCTTTGTAACTCTCCAGACCCTAGTTCTGTGTTCTGCTCTTTATCCACCCAGCAAAGGCCGTGGACAGAATTATAAGTAAAATGTATCAGAAGATGCTATTGATCAATTTACTAAGAATGATTAAAGATCCAAAAAAGATTCTCACTCACATATTAATTTTGGAACAAAAAGAAATGCTTATTTTAAAAAAATATTTTTATTGAGTTTATTTATTTCAGACAGGAAGGGAGAGGGAGAGAGAGATGGAAACATCAATGATGAGAGAGAATCATTGATAGGCTGCCTCCTGCACGCCCCACACTGGGAATTGAGCCCGCAACCCGGGCATATGCCCTGACTGGGAATTGAACCAGTGACCTCCAGGTTCATAGGTCGACACTCAACCACTGAGCCACGCCTGTCAGGCAAGAAATGCTTATTTTTGAAGTGTATCTAGCACCTGTGGACACACAAGGCTCAAGTGAAAATCTGAACAATCTATGGTGTCATCAAACTAGGAGAGGAAGCTAAATAGTTGTGGCTAGGAGGTAGAAAAAAGGGAAAGCAAGGTGCCAGGCATAGATATAATGCCATAATATATAAGTAATCAGCAGGTGTTTTTGCACTTCTTTCATATTCAGAAACTGACGTTCAAAGAGGCTAAGCAATGGTCTTTAAAATGTGTTTCTCACTGTGGGAGGTGGTTCGGAGATAACCCATGTCTATGTAACCTCAGCTGCAGTACCCTGAATCTCCAGCAGAAGGTGAGCGTTGGGTGCCTTCCTCATTTATCAGGGCACTCACTCAAGCTCATGCAACCAGACTCAGGTTAAGATGTGCAATGTTCCTTCTCAGTTATATTATATTTTCTTTGTCACTCATATTTCTGTGATTAACATTGGGAACCGAACCTACTCAGTGAACTACTTTTTTTTTCATGCTCACGAGTCACAAATATCATGACTTTGGACAGGAAAAACTTAATGGAATAGTTTGGGTTTTTGCAGTTGGATGGGCCACACTTCTCTCTATACAGTACATGCATTTTAAATATCAGCCAAATTTGTGGTGACTTTTCAGGGAAAGATTAAAGATTATGTAGATTAAGAACTTTAATTGAGTTTGTTTAAAGTCTGTAATACCAGAAAAGATACCATTCGCAATTTAACTGTAAGAAAATTATCTTTCTTTTTATTAAATTTAAATATCAATATTATCACAGAAAGATGACATGCAGAAAGATGATAAATTTTTACTGAGCATGACATTGGTCTTACTAATGCCCTGCTCTGAGTTTTCTTATTGGTAGTGACTTATGCTTTATTACCATGTTCATCTCTCATTCTCAACCTTTTGTATCTGTCAGAAATCCTGAATAGCCACTCCAGGTCATTCAGGATATATGTAAGAAGGTTCTCAGACACTGCTAAAAGAACTGTCACAAAGTTCTCAAAACAAACTCCTCTTACTTTAAACTCATTTTTTTGGTTGCTTTTTCTTTGTTAAACGGCATTTAAATATATAAAATAAATATCAAAAATATAAGTCTTTGTTTTACTATGGTTGCAAATATCAAAAAATTTCTACATGTGACACAGCACCAGAGTTAAGTTAGGGTTTTTCAAAATGCTGACACGCCGAGGTCAAAAGGTTCGCCATCACTGCTCTAACAGGTTGTTTGTGAGAGGAATCTCAGCATCCACGTCCCTGCTGAGGCTGCGGCTGACAATGGCAGGTGAGTCTGAATCTCTTAAGGTTTCATTAGGTCCTGGGTGTTTCAGACTTGCCCTCAGACTAAGTTTCTCTCTAACTTATTTGTCAATGTCTTTAACTTCCTTTTCCAAAACGCTAAAACTCTTATTGGAGAGTAAAACTTCTCTTGGGGGGGGGAAGGGGGGGCGGGAACGTCAAATGAAATCTGACTTTAACTTCAGTCACATTATTGCCATTTGCAGCCTTAATTATGCAAAAAAATATGCTGAGATTGTTTTTACCTCTGGGTTCCAGAAGAAACAGTTTTGATATTGTACAATACTTGTACAATAATATCAAGTCAGCCATTGTACAATATCTGATATTACACAATGGTCTTACTATCTATTATTTATTTGATATTGTACAACATCTGCTATTGTACAATGGTCTTATTAATATCTGATATTATGCCATTTATGGTTTCAATTAAGATAAAAGGAGGATTTCCATTTCATTTGCTTTTATGACTATTAATTCAGTCCAGGATGTGAACATATGCTCTATGACTACTGTTCTGGATATAGAGCTTTGCAAAGATCAGTCCAGCTACTCACTATGATTAACTCTATCAAGAAATAAAATTATAACAAGAACCCTACAGGCTTGGATGTCAGTTTATAATTCCAATGGATGAGTGAGATTTGAGACTTAAAGTGAAGCTACTCAATGGCATGCTCTGAAAATACAGTTAAAGCTGAATTTCACAATCCTCTGTCCATTCCCATGCATGACTCACCAGTTTAATATTAACAGATTTTTTCCATTTATTCCATTTTAAGATATTTATGCTATAGCTCACTGTCTGAAATAACTTTTTCCAACAAATGGTCTGAAGCTAAGTTTAAGTTTCTAAAATCAAATTTTAAAAAAATGAGGCCATTTTGCAAATAACTGAGCAAAAAGTCATGTTTCCTTAGTTATCTAGTCATTACTTTGCCAGGCTAAAGTCAGCATCTGAAATCTATGCTTTCATTAATATACTGGTAGTTATATGATCCAAAAACAGTCAAAACCTTAAGTGATTAACTTGGCTCTTTTTTATGCTACTGAGCCATCAGAGTTACCAAGATGATATTGTTAATATTACTTGTTCTTATAATATGAGCCTCATCATAGTTACCTGGGATTAAATTATAAATTACATAAGTAACCAAAATTTTTAAGTTGATGTTTTCAAAAGTTTTATTTATATATATATATATATATAGTTATAGTTATATATATGTATATATATCAGTTTTTTACATATATAAACAACTGAAATGAAAAAATTCATGAAAAATTCATGAAAATCTTATGAAATGCTTAATTTAACATTTCTATGTATCAATTTTTAAAAAATATTTTTTTATTGATTTCAGAGAGGGAGAGAGCTAGAAATATCAATGATGAGAGAGAATCATTGATTGGCTGCTTCTTGCATGATTCCTACTGGGAATTAAACCATGATCTCCTGGTTCATAGGTCGATGCTCAACCACTGAGCCACACAGGCCAGGCAAATGTATCTATTTTTTAACAAGAACTGAACTCCGCATGTTTACAAGGCTGTCTGGAATAAGAAGCAAAATAAACAAGAGGCTTTCTGGATAAATGTGTCCATATGCCAAAGTGATTTATGTCTGATTCAAGACACAAAACTCATTACCTCTAAAAAAAAACAAAAAAAAAAAAACGAAGGCGCATTTATTAAATGACCAGGAGAAATTCTACAGTATGTAGAACAGGAATAATAATACATAATTTTATAGTTTATTTTTAAAAAACAAATCCAAGGAAGTAAAAATATTCTTTTAATTAAATGCTCAAAGAAATAAGAAAAATTGGTGCAAGGACGCCTTCAAGTTAGGATTTATGATACAAATATTTTCATCTTTTAATAGGGCAAGCTGGTGTTCACATCTCAGTTCCAAGCTGCCTCTTTCAGGAGGAAATATCAATATTTTTTAAAGCACATTTACAATGCTTTGCCATCACCCCTGCTGTGTTTTTGTAGCACCTATAGCCATAACTGGCACCTGGGGGCCTTGCATTGTTGGCAGTTTCCCTCTCATTTCTTTGGAGTCTGTTCACCTGCTGTGGTTTTACTTAGAAGTCAGTGCTTTGCATAGATGATTTCCTGAGGCAGTTTGAACAGTCTTTCTCAGAAAATTGTGCCCTTCTGCCTGTGAACAGCTCTTCTCTGAGCGGCGCTGACAGTAGCCTGGTCGGGTCAGCGTGCTTGGACTTGGGTTCCCAGCCAGGCCGGGCTAGCTTCTCTCCCTGTCCTCTCTTCCCCCTGTTTCTGTGACATCACTGCCCACATCTTGCTGTCCCTTTAAAGAAGAGAACAAGATTTGGACTAGTCCAGTTAGAAAAAAATAAAATGCTTCCCAGGAAACTGATGCAAAGCTCCCATAAAAGCAATTCATAGTTGTTTCAGCAACTGATGTGAAAGTGATTTTAAATAATAAACAAAACCAGACTGAATATTTCAAATTTCTGTAAGGCAATAATCTGTTGCAAGGACATAAGTCTCCACTGAGTGTTCTATCTATGACATTTGGGAACAAAGTTAACCTTAAATTTTCTTGATTTGAGAATCTTTTTAAAAGATCATCTTGACAGTGCAGTTTTAAGATAATAAAAACAAAATGGCTTTAATAAGCTTTAAATGGCATGCTGCTTTGAGGTGCTAAGGTAAAGAGAAGCACTGCTTTATGAAGTGGGTCATGTGGGTATATATATGTTGGTGTGCTGTGCTGGTAGCGATTCCATGGTCTTCGTCAGTATACCACTAAAGAGAGAAAGAAAAAGGTCAGAATTAGAAAGTCAGTTGTCTTTTCTCCCGCAATCAATTCAAATGAGCTGTCATGAGCATACACAGAATAAAACAGGGTGTTTTAATTCCCAAATCCGTGTGTGAACTGAAACGTCATCACGAGGGTGCCTAATTCACTTCCCCCTCCCCCAAGCTTTCCCAGGGCAAATTGTTCTGTCCCACAGAAGGTGCGGAAAGAACTCACTGTGAATTGGGCTTTAAGGATGTGTATATTCTAATAAAAATACCCGAATCCATTTCTAATTTGAGTCAAAGGACACTTAGAACCATATCAAGCACAGGATGGAATGTTTATCCCATTATGCTCACTAGTTTTAATTAAGTGTTAGCAAGTGTCAAATTTCTCCTACACTGCAGTAAGATAAACTGTATTAAAAATAAATGAGTTCTTTTAAAGGTAATTTTCCCTAATATATGTCAGGAAGAAACTAGAAAAATCTACGTTGGTATTCCATAAGTGAAGTCAAAAGTCAAATGTGTTATTTGGAAACACTTTGATTTTGTACTAGAGATTTTATCTGTATGTCTGACATTTATGTAGAATGAGTTGACCTGAAGCAAAAATTTATCAACTCATGCTGCATTAAGCAACTGAGACATCATTGCCAGGCAAACATATATTATGGAGACATAAATTAACTTTTAAAAATTGCTTAATTAAAGCATGTCTTTTCTTTGAATATGAAAAAAATAAACCCCAACCGCTTATAAGAATCTGACCCAAAAGATATTTACCACATGTTTTGAGTATAAATGACTATCTCACTCCTATACAATGGGCACCATTTGAACTGAGCATACAACAAAGAGTGTGTGTTACAAGAAAGTGAGGAAAAGCAGGCTTTTCCAGCTAATACAGACAGCACACATATGAATGTGTATTTACATAGATACTAGAGGCCCGATGCATGAAATTTCGTCCGGAAGGTCGTCTGGAAGGTCATTGGCTGTCTGTCTGGTCTAATTAGCCTATTATGCTTTTATTATTATAGATTTTTTTTCTTAATCAGAAAAGGTCAGGTGCAGAAAATGAATTTCACTTAATACCTAGAAACCTCCTACTATATAGGCAACAACTGCTCTAGCCATTTCTGACTTTATAAAACAATCCTAATTATTTATTGCCTATGGTTGTTCAACAAAAGACAACATGCCAATTGCAAAACCTGAAGTGTGCGGATTATTAATATTCCACTGTTAGAGAAGCTAGTAATACACAAGGCAGAGGTGGAGTTTCCTATTTGAATTGAGCTCTTATCATGCTGGTTTCACTTCAGAATTACTCTGCCACACATTTCCTGAGTAACTGATTATTTCTGAATCAAAATAGGGAGAGACTGAACAATCACACCAATAGGAGAGCAGTGTCTGACAAGCACAGGGAATGTTGTGCTTCTCAACTCCCAACTCCCTAATATCATTGAACATTACTCTGTCTGCGGTTCAAGGATCTCACTTCTCCCACTTCTCATTGGAACCACAACCCTTCTAATTCCGTTCCTGTCTCCTGAGACCTCTGTGAGGCGCAGAATCCCAAGTGGAGAAACCAGACCCCATCAGCAAGCTCCCTCCCCTTGCACAAACTTTGCTATACCATCGCCTGGAAATCCACGCCAGCATCCACTAAGGCTCTGGTGATCTGAGCTGACTGCTGAAAATGAACGTTATCTGCGGGCAGAGAAAGGAAACATAGTCACTCACAGCAGCTCCAGTTTTCTGATCTGGAAGGGTGGGAAAGGCATAAGAAGAAAGGGACTGTTTAAAGTTCCAGGACTCAGCATCCCATTTAGCCCAAGACAAGTGAGTTGTGGAAAGCAACACTGTTTTATTGAAGTAGATGTAACAGTCTTGCCCCTCATGCTTTTGTTTTGTCAGTAGTGAAATTGCAAACCTGTCTGTGATACTAAAAAGTCTAATTAACTGAAACTCACCATCTGCTGTTCCATGAATAAGGAGGTACTCGACGAGTTTAAAATTTTCAGCTCTGCTCATGACTGTTGAATTCTGGAATTGGGGGAAAAAAGAATGTCATTATTCAAAAAAAGATCTGCCATAAACTGATTTTTCAGTTCAGTTTACAAAATAAAATGTTTTCAGCTGGGGCCCCCTTTGATACAAAATATAGCAAACCGATATTCAAGCAAATGCTGTCTCCATGCATGGCAGAATGCATAGCATGCCCTGAGCCTGGGAGACAGGACTGGAGAGGGAGATGCCACATCTTCCTTGCCCGTGTAGGAAGAGGGTACCTGCTACTCAGGCTGCATGCAAAGCCCCTTGAGCTCCAGACCCCATATTGGCTGTGTCCTATGCATTAGCACAGGGCAGAGTCTCATATTAGCAATGTATGTTCCATGGGCTTATGCTGTAGTTCAGCCAAAAAGTGTATTGCTATGGCAACCATGTGTCACATGGTGCCATACATGCTACGTTTCAAAGAGCCTGTACATAGCATTTGCAACTAAACATACTCTGCAATATGTCACATGAACTTTGGTCCACATTGCTAGGCTCTGAATGAGAAGCAAGTATACCTCTTTTGGAGCAGATGTTTAAAAACCTAGGCAAATGTAACATATGGGAGGGAAAACGGGTGAAAAAGATCAAGAACGGCCTTAGGGAATTAGTAGGTTGTTGTCTGCTTCATTCTGTATTGGGGAAAACGCCGCTATTGGATCAAGTTGTTCCCAAATCAGCCAGGAAAGTAGGACCCAAAATTGGGAGGTCAGTTTTTTGAAGACTGGTTTATGGCCTCAAGTAGGACTTTCAGAATGAGGGTGGAGTCTTGGGTGAAAAGGCCTTTGAAAGCACGGAACTGGTTGTTCTGATCTTAATTCCTGGATGTTTACAAAGTTGGGATGAAGGTAAAAATGGCACATAGACATTTTAGTGCCTTTGGGAGGGGATGAGCTGGAGGCGTCTGCTTCTGTTGTCTTGTTATGGGTTGGGAGGGTTGAAACCAGCCAGCTAGTCCCACAGCATCCTGGTGAATCAAACTCAACTTTGTAAGGGCCAAGGTTTGTATTTTACAGATATCTTTGTAGCTACCACCAGTAGCAGCCTAACATTTTTTTATGGGAACCCTGATTGTCTGGCTGGAAGCTGGATGGGGCTAAGAGCAAAGCGTTTGTGTCTAGTCCGGGTTCAATGTCAGTGAGCTGTGCACTGGAGACAGGCTGGGCTCTGAGCCTGGTTTTCCATAAAATGGGAATGAGAACAACTCCTCTTCCTCCCTTACAGAAATAGGGACCTAGAGACATGGCTTTCTCCACCCCACACCCCCTTTTTAGGTTAAATTGCTGACGCTGATGTGAGAATGCTGTAACACAGGGAAGACATTCTGTCCACAACTTTCAGGACAGAGTTAACCAACATGTTTCAGTGGACTGAGGCTCCCAAGGGCATGTTGCCCAAACATGCTGAGAGCAGATGCCCACCCACTCCAGTGCAGGCTGGTTCCCATTTGTCCTGACCGTATTACATTTCGGACCCATGTTGAGAGGTTTCCCATGAGCTTTAGGAATAAACACCTAGGACTCATTAAAGATCACACTTTCATTTTACTTCATTTTGAAAGAAGTGTTTTATCTGGTGAGATGTCCCAGATAAATTTATCCATGTATATGAATCCATCGATCCCAACATTACTCCATTTATTCTTCCATCTGTTCATTCATTTTTTTCATCCAATCAGTCAATACTTATTTGTGATATATCCCACTAAACAATAAGATCCATGAGAAAAAGGATCTGTCTATATTGTTCATCACCATATTCTTAGCATCTAGTACAGTGCTAAGTAGTAACCAAAGGAATAGCTGAGGGACATTTAAGCACCTATATTGTACTATTCACTATAAGTGGTCCTACTTTTGCAGAGGCAAGTGGGAGCCGCTGGGGTAGGTGAATCCTGAGATATGTTTTGCCGACTTTTAACCCGTACCCCATGCCATTAGTAATAGTAGCTAACATTTATTGAGTGTTCACTCTGTCAGTCGCTGTGCTAAGCACCATGACAGATTTATAAAAGCACTGCTCTCATTCCCGTGAGATCCTGCTTCCCACGTGGAGACAGCGAGATCCAGAAGTGAGTAATTTCCACCTGGTTCCATCTGTGGGAAGTGACAGAGCTGGACACGAAGTCTGGCGGCAAAACCCTTTCCACCTCCTATGCTCGTGATCTGGGCTGCCAGCAACGGAGCAGCGGGGAATAAGTTGTTAATTAGCCGTCTTGGAGGTTAGCACACAGATACAACGGGACCCTTTGGCTCCTGGGTCCCCAGGCTTCCTGAGCCCGAGCTAATTGGCAGAGATCTTGGTCTGCACAGCCCTTCGAGATTTGTGAGGCACGTTTTCTGATGGTGGGTGCCCGTGCAGCAGAGGAAAAGGGTCAAATTCAATCTCCCTACAGGACAGGGTAGGAGTCTAAGCTGGAGACAGAGAGGCTGGGCCTGAACCCTGACAGTGAACGTGAATAACCTGAGCCCAGGCCCTTTCGAGTCCTTCTGGGTGATCCTCTCTGCTGGCTCGCTCCTCAGCCTGCGCAGACTGCACTGCCGTGTCCTCCCCTTGCTCCTGCCACGTTAAATCTAGCTCTCTGCTCACAGAAGACAGTCAACGTTAGCACCTAGGTCTGACCCAAATATGCATCTGTGTCAGCTCACCTCACCTCCCGAAGCCTCACAGTGCTTTCCTGTTTGGCAGCGTGAACAGCAAAAGCTGCTCCTACAACCTCCCTGAGCCATACAACTGAGAAATGCCACCGAAACATAGAGTCATGCTTAGGAGACATATAAATACGCAGGACAGTTAGCAAGGAATGTGCTAACTACTGGAGTTTGGACCAAAACAGTTTCTGGCTGCCTTTTTTTCTTTCTTTTTTTTTTTTCTTAAATGGAGTGAATACAGGCTGAAAGAAGACAATTTTTATAAACAAGTAAAACCCCGAGCCTAAGATAAATGTTGTGATGTACACACTGTAGCTGTGATGAACTAGACATGGTGAGAAATGCAACATACTGAGAAAAAGACGAAAACTGTGATAAAAGTGTCATGATGCAAATTGTTTTACATTAACAATATTACACTACAAAGAAAGAAAGACAAATACTTTAATGCAGCAAGGGGAAAAAATCACACAAAAGCTTCCCCTGCAACTGCAAGATCAGAGCGCCGCTGCCAAAGCACGCTTCCCCTGCGCAGGGGCGAAGCCTCCTCTCCCTGCGAGGGAGACAGGCCGCCAGCGGCACGCTCCCACTCCAGGCTCTCGGGCTGCTGAGAACATTTTTTCTCCCCCCAAAACGTGCAGCCGTGTCCCCTAGCCTCACTCCCTACCAGACTGCGCACCCTGGTTTCTCCTCAAGAAAGACTCTCGGTAGAGCCCTTTGACTGTGAACGTCAACCCCCAAAGCCAGGGAAAGAAATGCGCTCATTTCAGGTCTGATTAGCAATTAGAAACAACTGCATTGTGCTATTTTAATCCATCCCATTTGGATAATCCCCGTTTGCCTGTTGATGGGAAATGAAATAAAAAAAAAAAAAAAAAGGAAATGGATGACTAAGTTAGAAGCCGAACAGTCTATCACCAACTACTAAAAAGGAAGCTAAGAGTGATAAATGGGCAAGGATGCAATGGTGGTGCAGTTGGCACCCTCCTGAGGCTAGAAACTTCCGGAAAGCCCCGCTGCCAGCGACAGTCTGGCAAAGCAAAGTGGGAAGGATTGGTCCAGTGGCAGTGCCGATTCCACAGCATCTCTGCAAGGAGCTTTTCCTTCAAGCCCCAAGGAGAACCATCTGTAGCTGCTCCTTGGATCATGCTGGTTCCTCAGTTACCTTCCAACAAATAAATCTTTGTATTTTTGAAATAAAAGAGAGAACTGATGAGAGTGGGGAAGTACTGTGACAAACAGAAGGTCTCACAATTTTTAAGCTACCCCTGTGCCATCCAGGAGTCATAAGGACGACTGGCTTCCTGAGGACAAAGGTGGCAGCTGCCATGTTTACAAAGCTTACTTCATGGCACAGGCACAGGGATCTCACTGAATCCCTGCAATAGCCCTGGGGTGGATCTGATTATCCCCATTATCCAGATGAGAAAGCTGAGGTTCAGAGAGCTGATGCAGCCCCCCAAAGCTCATCCTGCTAGTAGGAACTAGATTTTGAGTCCAGGGCTAATTCCAAAGCCCACTCCCTTCACATTAGAGCCAGACAACTTATTCCCTTCCCAGAACCTTGTAGAAAGAGTAAACAGCCACCGGTCTCATGGACAGCCCAGTACTTCAGTGACACACTAGCTGGGGTGTACTGACTTCTTAATGCATTCTCCCCCTTGAAACAAAGCCTTATAAAATAATAGTAAATGGTGCTGTTTGGGGAAGCACCATCAATGCCACAGAAAACAGAGGCTACTGAAAATATTTAAGAAAAAATCAATTCAACCCACGATGTCAGATGTTTTACTTGTTTACATCTCTCACACAACTGTCCCCACGAGATGCCAAGGAAAGAGCGCCCATCAACCCGACAGGGGGCTCTACCTCAGGCCTCAGCAAGCAACACTGGCTCCTTTAAAGATCACACAGCAGTCAACATTTTATCAGCACTCAACAAACAAGTTAAGGTTTGGCTTAAATCTGAAGGTCTCTCTCCCTTTGGCATATTCTGGGATAATAGAACAAATGTCAAATCGGTACAAGATGGCATATTTACAAAATTGCACCCTGTTTTGCATAACCTAACGATGCAGCAGTTCTTAAGGATTGAACATTTCAAATCTGCTAGCAGAAGACTGCCAAATCTATGACTGTTTCACACACTTGCCAAAAGCCTATCAAATTTTGAGCAAAATGCAAAATAAATCTCCTCTACAAGTTAAATCAGTCCCTTCTGTGTGTTCCAGGCTGCCCTCTCTCCTGGCAACCAGTCTCAGGACTTGGGTCTCATTTCCCTTGCCCTTGATCTTATACTCTTCTCTTATGTATTCATAAATCCATTCCCTCCCCAGTCTTCTGTCCTGCCTGATTGGTCCCCATTTGACCTGCTCTTCCCACAGACCTTCTTTGGTGTTATTCCTCCGTTCATGGGACCTGCTTCCCAACCCCGAGAATACCAGCTCTGTCTGCTATTCCTGTGTCTACTGTGTCTCACTGCCTCGTCCCTGTGTGCGGCCCGGGGAGAACACCTATGCTCCTCCTCTCCATCTTCCTCAGTCTTCCTAGGTTGGCCCCAGATAACTGCCCTCTCCCTTTTCTTCAATATCTGTATGTTATATAACATTGTGTGCCTCAGTTTCTGTGTCCGTAAAATTGAGATAAATTTAGAGCATTTATCTCAGAGAATTCAAAGGAAAATTGAACCTAACAGTTCATTCATGTAAAGAGCTTAGAATAATGTTTGGCCATAAACGTACGCACTTAATAAATGAATGAAAAAAAAAAGAAACAGATGGAACTGGATCCCCCTGGTTGAGAAGAGGGGTGGGAAGGTGACACCCTAACTTCTTGGCCACTTCCCTTCCCCTCCCTACATCCTTGGAAGGTACAGAATTCTTGGGACGCCACAGTCACAATTTGGGAACCAATAGCCTTTTTCATACCTATGAGGCACTTTGTCTAATTTAAGTTCATGCTTCACTACCTACTCTCTTTTATTTATCTCCCAAAGTTTTGCGGGCATGTTTTGTTTCACCAAGACACCTGAACAGTTAAAACAGCAGCCACCTTAAATAGTAAACGAAAGTCTACCACAGGTTAGTATTTTTTTTATAGATTTAACTAAAATACCTATGGTTAACCATATAAGAGACTATTTGGCAAGGTGAGTCAGGAACCCACTCCTCAAAGTGTGGTCACAGTTGTTCATTGCTTATTATTGCTATTGGGGGTGAGGGTTCTCTCATTGGCTATCTGATACCTGTGTTCAAGTCTGCCTGTGGACTGAAACTCACTGCAGAAAAAATGTGTACAGGTCAACACTGCCTATTAGCTGTGTGTGTCATCCCTACATTTTGGCTGCTGACTTAGAGCTTCTGGGACCATCTCATTGGGGTTTTAAGGAGATGAACATTTTCCTTCTTCTTTGAGTCCCTGGTATCCTTTAAAAGTGCTTGTGCACCAAAAGAGTCTGATGGAGTCCCTGCCTTTGTCGCTGCAATGGGTTCAAGCCTTAGTTCCTGGGTCCCCTCATTTCAACAACAGTTTTGTGAGACGAGGAAAGGATGCTCTCTCAGGATGCGGCCTCAGAAGTCCTCGCCTTAGGGGATGCATCATAGACTAGCTTTCACCAGTGTGCAAGCTAAACAATTGTTCGTGGCATCACTGGCTCTGCCACTGGAATTTGTATGTGGTTCCCCCAAGTCCCTTCCCCAAATGGTAGATAGAACCTTTATTTCACAAATGTGCCTCTCTTGGAGATCTGGGTTTCTCTAAGTTCTTCCAAATATGGGTCATCAATCACCTAATCATGAATCCCATTTGAGTTTTATTAAAATTTGTATTCTCTTCCAAAGGCTCTAGTGCTGGCCACTGCACAGATGATTTATTAGCTGAAAACACGGACGAAGATCAGGGTCTTGCTTCTCACAGACACTTTGGGCCCTTTTATCCTGGATGTGCTGAAGGGAGTCATTGGCCAGAGTAAATGGGAATCATTTTCAAAAAGCTGTCCTTCTGACCCAGGAAATGAACAGGGCAGTGAAAGCCTCTAAGAAATTACCTTCTTTGTCTTTTTAAAGAGGGCGGGAGGATAAATGGGGAGAGAGAGAGGAGAGAGAGAGAGAATAAATATAAACCACCTGGGAAAGAAAAGTAAAAGAAGATGGGGTCCAGAGGGGCAGCTGGGGCCTTGGAGGAAAATAGAATCTTTGAATATATTCTTGCCAGAGACAAAAGCACAGGCTCATTTAAAAAACAAAGGAGGGCAGCTTTATCCTAAAGCCTGCTGTGCACCAAAAATAGGCACTTTAGATTCAGTTCTCCACATTCAGAGGAAGCAGCAAACCAGGGTGGAAAGAATTCTGTGAATACATTCACCTCACTTTCTCCGGCCCACCTTAACTATTGCTGCCCAAGTAATTCCTCTGAGTAACACATTGGGAACCTTTAGCTCCCTGGTACTGGCAGTTTTAATGTGTCCATTGCCAGCAGTGAATTCTGTGCCAAGAAAACCCGACTCCTGGCGGTGGAAGGATTAAACAGTCCTCGGGTGCCATCTGTGCAGTGAATCGAAGGAGTGACTCTGTGCACCCAGTGTGCGTGTGTTGCCATTGGCAGTGGGAAGTGACTTCTGTTTACATGACTAGCTCATGCAGCTGAACACCTAAGGGGAGAGATGAAAGCGGCCATGGCAGTGAGGGGTAGGCTGAGACAGAGGGGGACCATTGTGAGAACGAGGAGCCCATGGGAAGGTCTAAAAAAGATGAAATGGCAGATTAATTATCCAATAAGGGGAGGGCTGGTTAGAGGAAACACCCTGTTGGCAGATGTTCATCTGGGGAAGTAGGCTTGGTGCCATGAACTTGCTTAGATTCAGGATTTGGACTTGACTGTGTACTTGCTTCTAAGTTCAAAGACTTTTTTCAATATGTAATTTTGAAAGTGAATGTTTGATTCATCACCCACCAGCTTCTAGAGTCAGGGTTAGGATCCTGGGCAGTACACCTTCAATGTTTCAGGAATTTTTAGTACATTGGGCAATCTGCGAAGGGCCTTGGGCTACTCAGCAAATATGGCGTACTACAGAAGGGGTGGTTTTCAAATGCAAGCATCCTGGTCAGGTCATTGACAAGAAAATTCCAGCTGTAAAATGAGAGAGGTGGTGGAGACAGATTTTTTTAACAATGTTTCCCTTCAAAGAGTTTAAAAATTAGATAGGGAAAAGTTTCAAGGTTTATACTTCATAGTGGGTAATCCAAAAAATATATAAGGTTGAGTAAAGCCTTAAATAGCTAAGAATACTGCAGAGGGGAAATGGGATTACAATCCAACCATGAGTCCAAGACAGTGAAGTGGGGGCTCAACGAGATCTGAGGAAGACGTCATGGCATTCCAAAGGGGATGCTACTCCTATGGGAGAGCAGTACAAGTCTCCCAATAGATGGAGATGGAAAGGAAATGACATTCCACGCAGAGGGAAAAGAGGACAAAGGCCCCCAAATATTCAGAGAACAGTGAACAGTCCAGGTAAAATAGGCCATTAAAGTGTTGTGGGTAGGGGTTAATCTCATAACTCTGTGGGGTATAGGGTAGAAGATACAAAAACAGCTAAGGGGAGATCAATTGGCCTATTGTTTTACAAGGGAAGATAGTCATGTGATGGCAACGATATGGTTATGAAGAAGGGAATGGGTGTCTGAAGCAGCTTATTGGATGTGGAGGAGAAAGAGTGGAAAGAATGGAGTCCAAAGTATCATGTGGGACAGTTAGCAGAAATGGGGCTGGCCTGATTTGAGCATCTCACTTTATAGGTTGAAACACACACACAAACGCGCGCGCGCGCGCGCGCGCACACACACACACACACACACACACACACACACCCCTCCCTACCTCTCCTCCACCAGCCTTGTTAAATAATGCTGAAAATAAGAGGTAGGACGACACTGTCTGTGCGTGTGTTGCAAAACTAGAAATTTTGAGTTTTATTGTGTTTTCGTCAAGCGGCATTAGAATCCATAGTAAAAACATTTTATTAAAATGTGCAAATAATGCTCAGAGAATGTATCAATATGAAACCCATATCTTGAGAGTTGTGGTACAAATTGTTCTCTTAAATTATTCTTGTTTTTTTTCCCCCCTTCTTTCTTTCTTTTTAATTAACTGTCCTGGGAAGAGTTTTGCATTTCCTTTGGAGAATGTAAATATCAGATGATTTGCCTTGTCATCTGGAGTTTCAGCGTTTTTGACTAACATGACAGAATCAGGAACATTTTAGATGAGCCACAGTGCTAGAAGGGTCCCCCAGTCCTCAGACTAACACTTCCATCTACCTCAGTGTGGCTCTGGCTTCGTGGCAACATCCACACTAGCACATGGGGCTGCCACTATCACTGACAGCCCCATATTTCAAGTGCTGTAGCCCATCAGAAGAGCAACCTGCCCACGGGGTCTCCTGTCAGGCAACAACAGCCTGTTGGATGCTATTGAGCAATTAGGGTTCAAGGGCTTTTCGGGGTGTGGCTCACTGTATTACTCCTCACCTACGTTAGTCAAATCTTGTGTGAAAAAAAACTACATGCTTAGTTATGAATAAGAAAATTATAAGCTTGTTCATACATCTTAATTATGATAATACCATAAAAAATTTAATATATTGCTAAAGTTTTAGAGTCTTCTGGCGGTAAAAAAAAATATGCTGAATTTGACATGTTTTCTAAACTGAAATTTTTATAATTAAAGTAATTATCTGGTGTTGCTTTGTATTTCCAAATGAATGCATATTGTGACCTATATAGCATACGATAAAGATTGTAATTATGCAGAATATAGTAGGGGAAGCTACTGGAGTATCTTTAAACCACCTGTGTTATTTCTTTCAACAAGAATTTTGTTGGAAATAAAAATATATATTTTATAAAATACAATTTAACATGTTCTTAAACCACTTCTAAATAGGTTATGAAATGGACCCGGTTCCTCATCTCTTACCTTGTAATGGTCAAGGTTGTCTTCTGGAGTAGGGAGACCCATGTAACGTTCTGTGTACACTGAGTCTATGGTGGAGAAAAGAAAAAAAGTTAATTCATACAACAAAAACTTTTCTTCCTTTTATTGGGTTACTTTATGTGCTTTGGTATGTCTTAACTTTGCATAGGTCTGTAGTGATATCCTCAGAAATATCTCCTCCAGATCATGTTATTTGGCTTGTTAATTCAGCCAGACACCTGCTCAGACTCCTGCTTTCCACACTCTTGCCTAGCCTATCCCCAGTTAGCCCTCATGGTGAGTGCAGAGAGAGATCAAACTAGATGATCAGAAACCCAATCAATAACCCACTTTCAGGAAAAGCAAAGGTGAAGTGCTAAGAGGTCAGGAATCTATACATTAACATCTGATCTTCTCAAATGATCTTAATTAGGAAGTCACTTAATGCCTCAGTTGTCTTGAATGTTTTGGTCCTGACACAGTGTGTGCCCTAATTTATAATATGCTATTATTACCTTTGGAAATCTCTAACAGTGTCCAATTACTGGTTGCTTAGATAAATCACAATTTTGGCAGGCTGAAATTCCCTGTAATACAATAACTCAGTTATATTTGTATTTGCTGTATAACCCCATATTGGCTCAGCTACTCCATCATAATGCAAGCTAAACATTCGTTTTCTTTCATTTTGTGCAGAGGCCTCAATTTTGATGTAGTGGTTGGGTATTGTGAAACAGATTACATTAATATCTGTCTGCTGAAATGACATAAACTTTTTAACCTACCTATATATGGCAAAAAATGTATGCATTATTGGTTTGGTTATTTTGGGTTATTAAACATATTTTTGCTCTATTAAAAAATTAATCATATATAATATATATCATATATGATATGTGTATTATATCTTGCATATATGATTTTTATATCAGTTATATCATATTATATACATTATATGCATTAGTATATATGTCCTAAAATATCAGTGAGTTATTTCCAATATAACTTTAAAAATCTGAAAGAATTGTTTTGAAAGATGCTCCCTTAAATGACCAGATTATAGAAAATAAAAGTATAAGAATAATACATTGCCATTGTGCTGTATAGGTATGACTTGAATTTCACTGTAGTTGTACAGGTATTTTAATAGTGATCTCATTAATTCTTTAAATTAATATATCACCTAAACCACCAGCTCAAGCAACATTCTTACCCTTTTCGTAGATAAAAAAAGACATTGATAATGAGTGTTAATTGCTCCACATGTCTTCTTTCGACATGCCATTTCTATGGAAGTCTTAAATATTTTCCTCCAAACATGGTAAGAGTAATATTTTGCCATTTTGGTTACAATAAATACAGACTATATGTGTTTTTACATGCCCAAAGGACAATAAAATAGAAAATATAATATTTTAGAGGATACTTTATGAGATCTTCATAAAATACTCATATCCTTTTAAAAATATTTAAGTATGAATAACACAGTAATTTGATAGGGGAAAAATGTCCTTTTAGGGCAAAACAAATTTTTCCTCAAACAGCCACAGACTTCAATTCTTCTTGTCCTAGAACATAATAACCCTTTCTTATCAAACTTGCAAGTGTAAGATGTCACATTTTAAAAATAAAATTTAAAAAATGCATAATGCACCCTGGCTGATGTTGCTCAGTGATTAGAGCATGTGCTCCCGTGCACTGAAGGGTCATGGGTTCCATTCCAAGTCAAGGGCAGTGCCTGAGTTTGATCCCTGCCACCCTCCCCCGGGGGAGAGGGTAGGGGGAGGTACATGCGGAAGGCAACCAATTGATGTATCTCTCTCACATCAATGTCTCTCTCTTTCTCTCTCTCTCTTCCACTGTCTCTAAAAATCAATGGAAAAAATATCCTCCTCAGATGAGGATTAACAACAACAAAATAGATAATGCAGTCGTAAACCTTTAGAAATATGCCATGAAATACCATATATGTGTTCCTTTGATCTGATCTGTTATGTAAAATTTTTCAAATTTACATATGTAGAAGAATTTTAGAAAGCTCTGATGTGTTAGGTTGGTCCATAGACATTTATGGAAGATTTCTTCTTATCATGACATGTCTCTAAACTCACAGTTTGTTCCTATTATTTTATTGACCACCAGAGGTCTCCAAAAACAAGCCATCCAATAGAATAATTATTAATATCAAGCAGAAAAGTGTTATATGGAAACAAATCCATGGTGTGAAGATCAAATCCTAACGATGTTCTCCAATTTTTTTAAAACAGAAAGATAGCAATATATTTTCTTACACTGGCTTCTCTTGATTTGGAGAGGGTTTAAAAAAGCATTTCCACAAGATCGGTGCTACCATATGTTAGGACATAAAATATTTAATGAGCATATTCATTATCGATGATTCTATGCTTACACTTCAGAAAGGACTTGAGATGGGGTCAGACGAGACACAGCAAAAAATTCATTTCCTTACTACCTCTGACTCTTCTTCCCTACTTACTGTTGCCCTGCTCACACCTTCCCCCTTGGGAATTATAGTCTTACATGTGTATGATGCTTGATAGAATAACATTTTCTTGATGATGAAGATTACTTAGAGACAATGAAAAAAACAAACCTCCCAGAAATCCCATTGTCTCTACTCTCCTCTTTCCATCCAAAGCCTTACTTATATTTGATCTTTACCAGAAGAGAGACACATGTTTCTTTTATTCTGCTAATATGTGAAGCTCAACCCTCAAGATAGAATAAAGATAAGGAAGGTTTTATTTATCTGCAGAAATGTAGCATTGGGGATGTCTGGGAATTTGGAAAACAGAATTTGTTTACAAGATTTGTTGGTAAGAGATTTGAGAAACAGAATTTATTGCTAAGTAAATGTGTAGATAACATATATACCATCCAGCCTTTCACAGTAGCAGAATAAGGGAGATTGTTTTATTACAAGTCTCCATAAAGTACGTGTAAGATAAGTCGGTTTATTCACTGTAGAAATACTGCAACCCAAAAAGGAATGGTTTTGTCATTGGCATTTCAAGGTCAACACTCAGTGTCTCTTTGTACTTGATAGCAATTACATACCATAGAACTCCCATGCTGACACCGGCGCCACGGCTATTCCACACTTGAACACACGACTTCCTGCTCCCAGGACCATCGAGGTTACGTACCCTCCATATGACTAAGGAATGGAAACGGTTATTTTTATGGAGGTAAAGGAATTAAGAACATATGGTAAGCGAGTTGCAGTTTCCACATTTCTCACATCTTTATATATTGTGCCTCTTTAGAGATAGAAAGCATGGTAGAGGAGGCTTAAATTGGCCTTAATTGGACAGTATCTCAAGACACATTTTCAGAGCCCTGTCCCTTTTCTTAGTAGGTGTGAGGGGGAAAACACTGAAAAGTTGCTGGATAGTACCATTAAAAAAATTAAAATAAAAACAATAAACACTAAATATTTACAGACTTTGACTCATGAGAAAAAATCTTCCTCCCTCTCTCATTCCCCTTCTTCTTCCCTCCCTCTCTCCCTCTTTCTTTCCTTCCTCACTTCCCTCCCTCATCATAATAAACAAAGGTGTTTATAAACTTGGCTAGTAGGAACTCATTGCTTAGAGGTCTAGGACATTTTATTCGGACCTTTTAGATTAAAATGATAGACAGGATTTCATCTCCAAATATTTGCATACAAGAGATATATTCTCCTGCTCTGGGTTATATTCACCAAGAAATGTGTATAGAGTTATCAGCCAAACAACTACTCACCCAGCCCCAAATTGCAATTCGTTTGTCGTCCACAAATCCCATTTTTGAAAATTGTCTAAAATACATGGGAGGAGTCCACAGATTAGTATTATGTCGTATATAGAAAACTAAGATAAATATACAATGTGAAACCCTGACATTTGTTCTCTATTTCATTCTATGAGAAACTAAGATATATTACTGCCAGCAGTCAAACACCTGAGACCAATGTCTATCATTTTTAACTTAAGAGCCAGATGAACAAGGTTCACCTTCATTGGAGTCCATAAAAATTGCACGTGTGTGTGTGTGTGTGTGTGTGTGTGTGTGTGTGTGTGTGTGTGTAGGGAGAGAAGGGTATGATTCACAGAAAACAAATCCTGGCAGTTTTTTTCACAGCTTTATATAAAAATTTGCAGCCCAGATGCACTTTTCTTTACATAATTGAATTTAAATCTCTCCAGATGTTTTTCAGTTTGCGAGAGGCTGCCCCCGCTGTGGAGAAATACAGGGGCCTGGAGAACATCTGGGTAGGACTTAGAAATGTATCTGAGCTCCCTACCTGAGAACTTAAAAACCATTCTCTAAATAAATCCCTTCTAATGATGGGTGTTGATTAGTTAGCTCAGCACTGTTAAACCAGAAAGACTTTTTCCTTGATGAATTAAGAAGTCTTTTTGCCACAAAATAGCGTTCAAGATAGGAACCCAGGTAAAGAAAAAAGAAAAATGTTTTATGCTAAAAATACTCATCTTGGAATTACATAAAAAATAACTTACTTTTAAAAAATCTAGCCTTGGGACACAATTTTGTAGTACTGAGGAGTGTGGGAAACCCTTGCTTTGACCTATATGTGACTTGGAGAATCTGTGTTTTCAATTGATAATGTATGTCTCAGGCTACTCTGAGTAAGCACTATTGCTTAAGCAATACTAATAAAAATCTAATGTAGTTTTCAACTCGTCATCTTCTTCTTCAGTAAACCTTTAAAACGTAGAATGTATATGTAAAAAAAATGTGCACCAAGTCACGGGTGTTGATAGGTCTTTACAAAGTGAGCATATCCTTGAACAAAGATAAAGAGCTTACTATCACCCAGAAGTCTCTGGGTCATTTGGGTTCTATAAAAAATTCACCTAAATTTGTGCCATGGTTTTGACTTTATGGAAATTGGGCTGTGCCTGGCTTCTTCCATTCAACAGTTTGCCTGTGAGATTCATCTATGTGGTGGTGTATAGTTCTTTTTAGTTGCTGAAAAAATACTCCATTGTATAAACACACTACATCTCATTACATTTTAAAACTGCAGTTGTATATTGTGGATATTCAATTCTATAATTTTAGGGCTTGCCTCCATCAGACTTGAGAAGCCCTGGGAACTATCCCCTTTCTCCCAGGGGACCAATGCAAATACATAAAAACTCATTTGCAAAAGATTACAGCTTCACTCTTGAAAAAAAATTGTCCTCTCTCTAATCTAAGCCTCTCCTTTTTTGATTATAAGGAAATAGTTCATCATTAGTGTTGGTATAAGAGACTCAGAAATGCTCAATAAGTTGACATCTCTTCAGTTGTTCCTGTTCTTAAAGGAATTTTCCTCTACCCATTTAATCACTCACAATTTTTCTGCACTTCCTGGTTTATGACTTCACAATATTATTTTAAATCACCTACTTATTATGCTTCTGTGGACATTTAAGCACTTGGTTATAGAAAGTCAAAGATTACACTTCCCATTTACCAGTTGAATGCAAATGAATGGAAGACCTGGATTCCAACCCTGACTGACCTAATTTAGGACCCTCCATTTTATTCACCTGAAAAATGTAATACCAACATCCACCTCCCAGGTTTGCTATGCAGCTTCAATGACAATGCACGTGAAACTTTTCCCATGTTGCATGCACATTAAGGAGTAACCAACATCTATAATTAAGATCTCTGTTAAGTCAGGTCAAGTCTATCTCTACAGTCCCACAACTGGAGAGCACAAGAATGAAATGGGACTCATCCTTCACAAAGCCCTTATAATTGTGAATAATGAGGGTTGTGCTCCACACTTTTCCCAAAATTAGATGAGGAGTAATCCTTATCCAGCCGGCTGTAGGAGCCACTCCTAGGACTCCATAGTCTTCACCCTCCTCCAGTTTAAATAAACACGGAACTCCTCTACTTATCCCTGCCTGTATGGATGGTTTGCTTGCTTCACTAGATGTTTACCCAAGTGCACATTTATCCTTCAATTTGTCCACGTGTTGGATGCATTTTGAGTTTCTGTTCCTCAAAGGGGGTAGCACACGTGTCAATTTCCTTTTTAGAGTCACATATAGACAGGGATTTAGGAAATATCTTTTTTAAACTTTATATAAATCTATAATTGTTGTAGGCAGTTAGACAGACACGAGCAGAGCAAGGATGATGGGCAGAAAGCCCTGGATGCCTAGCAAGGGGCAAAACTGGGAAAAGGTTACTCCCCAGGTAACCTTTCCTCCCCTACCATATCGCTGGTCATGCGGTTTGGACCCCTGATTTTTCATTTCACTAGTCATGGGGTTTAGACCCCCTAACCTTTTCCTCCCTAAAGGTAACATCTAAGCCTCAGTTGTATTTCAGTTCCAGGCCCAGAAAAGCAGCAAAATCAGACAAATGACCCTATGTCTGCTTCAGGACCAGCTACACCCTGGCACCTACCAAGCAGTGGAGACCGTGACCCTGAAAGAGCACACCTGGAAAGCTGATGATTATTCTATTGAGCCCTCCCCTGAGACCTCCCCTAAGATTTCCACCTGCAAGAGAGAGATAAACATGCTCAGGCTGAAGGAACCAGCCCATGTTCTCCCCCAGGGGAGCAGGCCCACACCATTCCCTCCCCCCTTCTTCCCACTAAGTGACTCCAGGAGACTTGCAACCAGACGAGCAATGGGCAGTGGCAGCTCTTCCTGGGCTAACCCCCTGAACCTGTCTCCAAGGCCCCCTTTTCTCTGTCTTCTCAGTGAGCCAAAGTAGCCCAGCCTAGGCTCTCCTGGTACTTCTCCTATGTCCTTCCTTGTTTCACTGTCCTAAGTATATTTTTGCTGAGGCCAATAAATTCTTGCTTGCTTTTTTAAAAAAAATATTTTTATTGATTTTTTACAGAGAGGAAGGGAGACGGATAGAGAGTCAGAAACATCGATGAGAGAGAAACATCGATCAGCTGCCTCCTGCACACCCTCCACTGGGAATGTGCCCGCAACCAAGGTACATGCCCTTGACCGAAATCGAACCTGGGACCCTTCAGTCCGCAGGCCGACGCTCTATCCACTGAGCCAAATCGGTTAGGGAAATTCTTGCTTGCTTTGCTGCACTTTGTCTCTTGATTGAAATCTTTCCTTTAAGAAGACAAGATCCTACATCTTGTTGCCCCCACCAGTAACATATTAACACATATTTTTTTGTCTAAATATGATTATCTTCACAAAAAATCTACCCCAAGGATGAAACACTACAAGTTCATGCCAGGACACTTTAAATTCTTTACACTTTAGGGAATTAAATATAAATTGGATGAGGGAGATCAGACCTTTGAATTTATCTCCTAGTCACTCACTTGGCTGCTTCAATTTGATCTTCAACTTCAAATGTTCCCAATCTTCTGTTGATTGCATGCATGATCTTATCTCCTTGGTAACCGCTTCCTCTGCCATCAAAGCTAGCTACTATAATATTTTCTGTGCTTGCAAGGTAAGTAGCCCAGCTGAGTTTGAAGGTGGCATCTGCTTTTTGACTACAGGGGCCTGCATACCTGTGGGGGGAAAAAACAAATTTTTAGCCTGTATGGTTTTCCTGAACCGATTGAGGAGTGCTTGCATTTCTACTCCTTGTGGACAAGAAGTGTGCATCTTTCCTGATCATGAGCCTGAAATCGTGCCAGCCACCGAGGTGTTCACAATAGGTCTTCTAATACTTGGCAACACGACTATAATGTGTGTTCCCTTCAGATATATACCCATTAATTTCATCTTTGAAGATTGTTATCAAACAGACTTCATTGGCCAACATTTTCTTGGAAATCAAAGAAATAAATTTCTCTGCGGAATTATGTTATGAAAAAATAACGAGGATGACAATAAATGCAGCTTTGAAAACATCTTTCCATCTCAGCTTACAAAGATTTCTTTCCTAGACTCCAAGTGTCTTTCCTAGGTTGGAACTTCCTTAGGGACTTTGACTACTACATGATATGCATCGCATTTCCTCCACTTCTCAGCACCAGGTTGCACACTAAAGCTCCCAAAATCATGTGGAATGGACCAAAATATGAATGAACACGATTCTTTAAAACTTCCAAGGATAAGCAGACTATTTGAAATTGGGTAGGTTGTTTGGCATTCTATTTGTTAACAAGTTTAACTCCCTTGGATCTGCGATCTTTATAAGCTACATCTTACCCAACACACAGCTGTATGCAAATTTCTCTCCAAGCCCTCTATTTTCCCCTTGTTAATCAAAAGAGGCTCCCCATCGCTTCCTCATTGCTTTTAATTTAAACATCTGGAAACTTAAAATACCTCTTTCCTTCAGCTTATATGTTTTGTTTACACAGAACTGTAAATACAATGGAACACGGCTGTATCTGATGCTAAATGTGTACCCTTCCTTCTTTTGCTGGTAACAACAGAAATGTGGTGTTCCTGAGTTTGAGCTTCAGTTTTTCTCTTCTGTGTAATGGGCCCAACAGAACTCACCACATGGGTTTGCTGTGTGAACCAAATAAGGCAAGTCACCTGGCACACACAAGGCACCCAACCCATTTGTTGTTTTGTTTTGTTCTGTTCTGTTTTATTTTGAATAAAGGAAATGAGTCAAGCTAGAACAGGAAGACTGGCATTGTGGCATTGTGGGTGAAGTCAGAGCAATTTTAGAAGGATGAAAGTTAAATGTATTCCTAATAATTATCAAAGATGTTTCACAAAGCTGCCATATTTAGAATTCACATGAGTTCACAGTTATTGCTCAAAGACTTGTGATTTCAGAACTTTCTTTAAGATTTGAAGAAGTTTGGATTATAATGACTACTTTCTTATATCACATATGTTCTTTTCACCAAAAAGAGGAATGGAAAATACCAGGCAGTGATATTTCAGGAACCAAAGAAAAACCTGATGTCCTATTAAAACAAAGGCAATCATGGGAAATGCTGTGGCCAAGTTTGCGGGTAAGGAAACTGTAAAAGCTGTTAATACCATCTTTCTCATTAAAATGTCCACAATGAAAGGATAAAAATGGGGACTTGAGAATTCCTTTGGAATTCTCTTGGAGTTCAGGGAAACAAATAAAAACAAACTCCATATGCTATTATGATGAAAGAAGGGTGTCTCCCTTCTCCATTAAAAAGAAGGTAGAAAATACATGCTTGGGTTTGTGATTACAAAATAGAAGGAAATAGTAAAATTGCTGCACAGTGATCCAGGAAGCGAGAAAGGATGTGTTTTGCTTTATTTTCTTCAGCAAGCTACACTGAGCATAAAAAAGTACAATAGTTAACTTCTGAATTTTTAGTTCCCTCCTCTTGAATACATACTTACACATCTATTAGTAGAGGATATTTCTTGGATTTATCAAAATGAGGAGGCAAGATCATCTGATACCAAAATTCTAAACAAACAGAAAGATTAATTAGTGAATTAAGAACAATGATTAGCACATGATTTTGGTTCCTTATCTGTTAGTAATAAGTCATATCTAGAGTTTAACAATGTGTTAAATTAGAATAGGAAAAAGAAGTGAACTACTTGCATTCAGAATGCTTTTAAGAAATAAAATCATTCTCTATCAGGTTAAAATACTAGTTCAGATTAAATCAATAAAATTGTTTCTAATGTATCTACTAAATACTATTAAATACATCGGCGCCTTGTAAGATAAAAGTGCATTTTAGAATTGCTAATGCTTTGTTTTTGTGATTCTGTTCTTTGGCATTTTGATCTACTTATCTAGTTTGTTTACGGCTTATGTTCTAAGTTTGCCTGCAAAATGTTTTCATCTTCTTGAATTTCCTTGAAGATGTTTAGGATTTTTAGTTGGCCCCAATTCTATTTTAAAGCTCTGATCTAATAACATTTGTATAATTCTTATTGCCATCCCAGGCCACGAAGCTGAGCTCCCATTCTCAGCTGTCTGCTTCACAGCATGAAATCAGGCTTACATAGAGCAGACTGTTGTGTACTTTCTATACGATCTTTCCCAGGCCTGTTTAATTCTCTGTGCTTGGTTTAACATCAGTTCAATAAAATGTGTCCCTAAATAATGAATTGGTTTCCTTTGCTCCCAAATTCAGGTTGATGAGCTAGACTAATAAATCAAAAAGAGAGGAAAAAATGAGTTGTTCCATATTTTAATAAGATTGCCTCCAGCTTCAGGAGATTGGACTAACCTGTAGGGAAAAATTTCCCTGTCTGGAGCTGCTTCTTCCTTAGATTTATCTTTTTGGTTTTTTTGGTGACAATTATTTTAATTGTTGAAAAAAGTAAGATTTAGGAGTAAACTCTTTATATAGACTTCTCCCATTTGTATTTTACTGATTATTTTATGTCTTTTGATCAAATGTATTTATAAGATCAGAAATGTCAGTGTTTATTACATTTTGATCTATGAGTTAGTTGATCATAATGTTTCTAATGAATATGCCAAACCCACCATTGGATCTCTCTTTTGTTTGATTAGCACTAGTTGATTAGAAGTGTTTTAGTTCCCCCCTTTGAAGATGCGCAGTCTATTCTTTGGGGAGTGGGTTCCTTCTAATCCCTAGTCCTACCTCCCTTTGCTCCCTCCTCCCAGACTCTCCCTAGGCCTTTCTTTCCCGGAGTTTGGATGGTATAATCACGTCCCAGCTGGAGCCTCCCCCTCTGGCAACACCATCCTTCACTTTCTATCAGGTTATCTATCCAGTCCTGTGGTTTCCCTGGCCCTAAAACCTTCTGGAGCTCCCCACTATTTACCAACTGAAATAGAACTTCACATTTTGGTATTCAATGCCTCTCTGGAAGTCCAGCTAGTTCTCCCAAACACTAAGGGGGTAAGCCCTTGCCAGATAAGCCTGGTACAGGGGGAGCAGCTCTGGCAATGCTTGGAAACTTATTACAAACTCAGAATCCTGGGCCCACCCTTATAGGAATGTGCATATTATCAAGGTCCAAGGTGACTCTTTTGCACATTCAGTTTGAATAGCACTGCTCTAGACTGTTCTTCAGAGGTGCCCTACACTTCCCAGGGCTCTTCCTGCCATTTAAAATGAGATGAGGTGAGTTTTTTTCTATTATTGTCCTATATTAAAAAAAAAATAAATCTAATACTGTCAACAATAAAATTAAATTTAAAAAATAAATCTAAAATAAATCCTGATGGATTTCTCCCTCCTTATGAATTGTCAGCCCTTAGAAAAAAAACAAGCAAGCAAACAGAAATGAACAAATTATAAGATTTCCTACTTGTTGTTCTTAGTGGTCCCTTAATATAATCCATGATCAAGCAACCAGGCCAAGGACTAGAGTAACTCTTTCTTGGGACTAGAGGGTTAGGAAAAATTCAGAATTTCTCTCCTGAGACAGAGTTTCAACATTTTATAGCTAACCTTAATTTTTTTATACAACCATCTTAGATATTTTTTGTCACTTTGGGTTAAGAGAAAGTACATGAAGGTATCATTAAGTTAAACACACAATTAAGACTTATTAGGAGAAAAGAGTTACTATTGAGATGAATGATGCTGTATTTTAAGACAAAAGAACGTAAAACTAGTAGTTCTTGTGACAACATTTCATGGGGAGACAACCTTCAATTCCATTTATATACACTCTGAAATGCATATTTTCAGATCAAGTGATTGTATTTATTTGTATTTTTATTTAACTTACTCGTCCCATTCAAATGAATGAAGTCCAGTGTTTTTCTTGGCATCTGGATGTTCTGCAGTGTCTCATACAAAGCTGTATTGTTTTCCAGGAGTCTCAGTTCTAAACAAATAGTCGAGATTACCGGAAATTCATTACAATGTGAAGCATTTGCATTGTGCAAAGCAATAAAGCACAAGTGGACTATTCACTGATGGGACTATGCATGCATCAGGTTATAAACCTTGTGTTCAGTGTAACTGTTAAGACACTCTAAAGCCAAAGAAAATCCCACTACACTAAGTACACATCGGTCCTGTTTACATACACTTTTCTAAGAAGCAAAAGAATGATGAAATAAAAGAGAATACCTTTATCATTGCTGCTGCTATGCAGACTATAGCGGGGGATTTGCGGGCCTGTTAACATAATCAGGGAAAAAATATATCTTAACACATTTTAGCATAGTATTCTTTTTTTTTTCTAAATACATATTTTTCAAAAAAGGCATTTATTACCATTTAATGTTGATAGAATTTTGATACCATTTAACTTTGATGGAATACATATCATAGTGGATAAGGGACTTAATAAGTGTTAGCTGTTTTCCCTTCCTTAAAATAAGTGCAACTTGAGTGTGAGTGTGAGAAATATTACCAGAAAGGCACAGGGCTCAGGGGAAAGAAGCAGGAAATGAACTTCTGGCCCTGCTGGTGCCTCGGGCACGTTATCATTCTGGTGCCCAATTTCCTCATTTGTGCACTAAGCCGTTGGAGAGCTGCTAGGATTCTCTGCCCTAAATCCACAATCCCGAAGGACCACACAAGTCCTCAGGCCCGCTGCCCCTCTGAGTGGAGCTGTGGAGCCAGCCTCCCCTAGGGGAGGGCGGATTTCCCTCCCGCTGCCCACGGAGGAGTCCTGAGCCTCGCGGCACATCTGCACAGTGCCTGACTTGGATAAGCAGTTCCTTCCTGGCATGCAAAAGTGTTTTTCTCACCCTCCCATATCTTCACTATTTATCCCAACTGTGGGAGTTGCAGAGTGGAAGGTAATGTATAGAAAAGCTATTTTGTGAGCTATTTAATTTTCTGCATTTGGATAATATTAATTTTTTCCTTGATCAGGACCACAGTGAAAGCATTACTTGGTATACAGACCTGGGTTTGAATCCTGTCTTACCTGCGGTGTGACTTAGGACAACATATCGATGCTTCAATTTCCTCATATAAAATGAGGATAATATTATCTACATTAAAGAGTTTTCTCAAGGATCAAACTTGATCATGAAGCTAAAACTTTTAACATAGTGCGAAACAGCCATAGTAAAGAGCCATAAAGAAAACTATGATAATGAAGAAACTATGCTAGTAAAGAAAGATTCGGATAACTGGTTTGAAGACCTATTTTGGTTAGGAACAGTTTCCAGAATATCCAGATTCTGTCATTTTGAGATGTAATTTAGCACAGTATTACAGGGAGGACTTGGGAGACAGGGGCCTGTGTTTTAATCCTGTTGTGCCTTTATTAGCTGTGTGACCTGTGGACATCACATTGCCTCTCCTTGTCCAGGTTTCTTCATTTAAAATAAAAAAAAACACAATAATAACAATAGCAACAGAAGATAGAGCAGTGAGCAAGTGGGGTAATGGGCACCATCCACATACATTTTCTCATTTAAAAGGGCAAGTGCAAAAAATAATAAACCATTCACAGTATCTTATATAATAAAACCCTAATGTGCAAATTGACCGAATGGCAGAACGACTGGTTACTATGACATGCACTGACCACCAGGGGGAAGACACTCAACACAGGAGCTGCCCACGGGTGGTCAGTGCACTCCCACAGGGGGAGCGCCCCTCAGCCAGAAGCCGGGCTCATGCAGCCACAGTGGCAGGAGCCTCTCCTGCCTCCATTGCAGGCGGGCGGTAAGGAGCGAGGGGTTCCGGACTGGGAGAGCCCTGGACTGTGAGAGGGATGTCTGACTGCTGGCTTAGGCCCAATGCCCCCAGGGGACATTCTCCAGGCCTTCCGGACTGCGAGAGGGCGCAGACCCGGCTGAGAGACCCTCTGCGCCAGTGCACGAATTTTGTGCACTGGGCCTCTAGTGTTTATATCTAAGGATGGAGTGCTATGTTACACAAGAGCTCTGGGGTGTGACAGTTTTCAGAATAAAACAAGCCTCTTGGTTAGAAGGGGAAGGAAAGGTGATTAACTCACCACTTAGACGTGAGTGAAGAAGACTTATATGATTTCAAGAATTCCTCAGATTCAAAAGGAGAGAACTGAGCAGGGAAGAAAGAATGTTTCCTAAATTGGACATAGAAAGAGAGACTTCACGGATGGAAATGCTGAGCCAGGAGGTAGTAAGAAGGTTGTCCAGAGAGAGGAGGGGCCATCAGCTGGGGAAGTGTGGAGGGAGGGTAGCTCACAAGCAGAGGGATGGAGGGAGCTACTTCAGATGGACATTGTGGGTACCCACTGCTGCTAATCTACCTCCCAGAGGTCAGGTCACACTTACCTGAACATCTCAGCTGGTAGTACTTCGCCCCTTTACTAAATGATGCCGAATAGTACTGACACCTTTCTGGATCCAGCTCACAACTCAGACATGTCACGTTTGCGTAGTTATTAAGTTGGATTCTGTAAAACCAATGGCAGAAATTAAGTGTTTGATTAAAGGGTAAAGAAAGAAAGGAATTGAATAATGCCCTATTCCAAGATATCAGAATGTCAAAGCAATCCTAGGAAACTTTTAAAAATCAAAACTATGCATTGATTCATAATAACCTCAAACCTCCCAATGTTTGGAAATATCACAAAACATCTAATAAAGTCATTCTCTTTTGATGACCTGCAGATTGATTTATAAAGAAATAAAAGCATTTGAGAATAACTGCAGTTTAATATATTAATTAGGATAAGCTTTTCCTCCCCCCCCCCAAAGAATCAAGAAAGTGTTCACCAGCTTAAAAGACTCAGATCAATTTGACAGAATTCTTACTTATAAAGATTTCTTCCTCCTGGCATTCCTTTATATTCATTACTGATGTAGTATCTGGGAAGAAAATAAATGAAGTGTTTATTAATTATGTTTTTAAGAAAAGTCAAGTACATCGTATTTAACTCAACACCAAGCATTAGTGCTCATACATTAGTACTTGCCCTTCTTTTACAATTTTTCCCTGCCCCTGGCCCCCAGAAGCCATTTTTTGCCATCATCTCTAAATAGGATATTCTTTTTATTTAACAGACTGAAATATCTGAATGCCAGGATTGCTCCCCTTACTAAAGTGGCAAGGAAAATCTCAAAAGAAGTATTTTGTAGGAAAAATTAGTTGGACAATGAACTTGAAGTTGAGACCCCATTTATCTATACTGTTTCCTGTATTTTCTGGTTTATAACCCACTCCTAGATGGGCAGCAGCCCCATCTGAAGAGAATCTTTGAAAACTGCTTTGGGCAGTGGCCACCTTCTTCCATGGGGAGACCAATGAAGAATTACAACTGTGCCCGAGATCCTAATGAAAATGAACACTCCCTTCCCCACCAATTCATGGTAGCCGACAACCTCTGCAAAGTTTTCCATTTTCCAGAGTAAGGCCGAGACATGGGCAGTTAAAATAGCTGCTCCAAGCCTACCAAAATGTCAGTGCCAGTTGGAATTTAATGAAATGCCCCTGAATACTAGTTCAGTATTCCAAGGTGGTTAAGAAAAAGAGGCTACAGCTCTTCTAGTGTAAAGCAGGTAAGAGCAAGAGGTAGAGCTGCTTGGTGGCAGGGTATCAAATCTGCTGAGCATATGTGAAAATCATTAAGGCTCCGTATGTTAAAAAGAAAAAAAAATCTGAACTCATTCCAAACAGACTACTCTTTATTTGTATGATATTTTTTTCCTATTTCTGGGCAAAGAGGGTGTGATTACGACGAGTACATTTACCTCCTAGAATACTCACAGGTAATCGTTGGTAAGGGCTTCTATCCCGATGACTTCCCAGGCTCCTTTTGTAATAAATGTGCAATCCTGATGGGAATTTTTTTTAAAAAAGAGGTTGATTAGGCTCTCTTTCTAACTGAGGTTAAGGAGAGAATTAAATCATTTCTATTAGGAATTCAGATCATCTCAGGTCTTTTTCTTGGGTCTCCCACCCCATCTACCTTATTTTGATGCACCGAGAACTTGGAGTTAGTTTGATTATTTGTACACATTCATCGAATGCCTTCCACTTCAAGTCAGATTCAAAAAAAAATAAAAATAAAAATAAGATCAACCTGAAATGAATTGTGTAAGAATACTTACTGGCTTATCTATTTGGAAAAGACAAATGTGTTTGTAGCCCTCACTATTGCTCATGATCTTGTAGAAGCTATTCCCATCAGAGGTAAAATGAGGTTCTGCAGGCTTAAACTAGAAAATAATAGAAAACAAAAAGCATGTTAAAGCACAGTCATCTCATCTCAGTCCCAGCTTTAGTTTTAGAAATTACAACACCTATGCTTGAAACCCAGCCTTCATTTACTTGCCAAATGAAACCAATTTTGTCTTGAAAGAAAATTCTCCTTCTAGAAAATGCAGACAAAAAGATCTAAGTCCTAGAGAACTCTTTTGTGAGGAGCAAATGAGAGCATGCCCATAAGGAAGCTTACATAGGATACTCAATGCATAGCAAGCAGTTACTGTTATTCTTGGACATCTCTCTTTGAGGGCTAATGCTGACTTCTGGCTAGAGATGTGCAAAAATTAGCATTCGCCTTGCAGTTGCAAGTAGTAAACTTCCTCAGTGTCACAAATGCGCTTTCTTGAAGCAGACTAATATTATTGTTGACTGTCTTTTACACAGATTTCCTTATGAAAAGTCAGACTTAGAAAGCCTTTAACCATTTCTGGACTAGATACCATAAGAAATGTGTTGTGTATTTCAGTACAGAAACATTCATATAGTTATCATTTTCATTATAAGCCTCTTCATTTTGCTGAATACGATCAACAGTTTACAAAAAAACAGTTGTATGGAAATATAGAACAAAATTTCCATTTTTTTTACAGTGCAATAAAGATAGTTCTCAGAACATAATGTTGTTTAAGCAGAAAGAGTATCTACCCCAGCCTGAAAGGAATATGTCGCTTCACAACTTCAGTTTCCTTACTACATTTGAGAGCAGGTAGGAGATGGCCTTTTGAAATTGTTGGTTCGCTTCACCCTTGATGTTTCCTTTCTCATCAGCTCCCATTTTGGGAATGAAGAAAAGTGCTCCCCGGTTCTCTTTAGTGATTCAAAGCGAATTCATTTATGGCGCAAGCTGAGGCGTGCAGTACACTGTTCTCATTACAGAGCTCTGAAACACATTCCCCTCTCTAGACCTGTGTTCACAGCCTTATCTTTTTAATACATTTCCCTGTTTCCCCTGGATGGAGTTGTGCCTAGTAGAAATGTGTGAAAAGTGGCATCTGTCTGGTTAAATACAGAGAGGAAAAAACATATTTTTTTCCAGAGAGTCGTGAGGAAGTGTAGCATGTCTCTTGCCATGGAGGAAACCACTTTTCATGTTGGCAAACCTCTCTCCTCTGCCCAATCAATGCCTGAAGAGAAAGGACGTGTGACTGCTATCGCGCTCCCAGCCCAGCTGGAAGGGGCGTGCTCCTGAACCAGGGGGCCCCGCATCCATACCCAACGAGCTGCGAAAGCTTGGCATGCTTTGTGCCACCTTGTTTCTCTCTTAAAGAGGGCTTAACAGAAGCGGTCATAAAAACTAGGTGAGATTCAGGCTCCATCTTTCACATGAGGCGCCACGATGGCTGGAGTTCCTTTATCCACTTGCTTCATTCCATGGCTTACAGCAGCATGGTTGGTGATTCTGCCCAAGGCCTACTACGCCTTGCGATGGGAGTTAGAAGCCCGAGAAGTCTCCGAGGGTCACTGTGCTTTCTTGGGTAAAGCTCTGCATCTGGGGCCTATCCAAGTGTCAATCCACATGAGTATAATGTGCTCCAGAGAGAGCTGCATGGGGGTGTGACGTGCATGCCACTGAATTTCTGCTGATGTACAGTGGTCACATCTCCTTCCACACTCGTGCAGGCCATGGATGCAAACCATGTTTTTTGCCTCCGAAGCACATAACTTCAAACAGGAGGTCAATGAGCACATTCAGCATCTTAGCTGCAGTGATTGCTTTTCACACACCGGGAACTACCATTTGCCTAGAGCAGTGGTCGGCAAACTGCGGCCCCTTGAGTGTGGCTCTTCCACAAAATACCACGTGTGGGCGCGCACGTACAGTGCGACTGAAACTTTGTGGCCACACTCAAGGGGCCAAAGAGCCTCATGTGGCTCGTGAGCCGCAGTTTGCCGACCAGGGGCCTAGAGTATGTGTCTTGTTTTGTCTGCTCATCATTATTGCTTCTCTGCCTTTTGGCTAAGATCAAGTGCATGTTCTTCATTGATTTTCCATTTGTCCCCTTACTTTTTTCAACTGAGTATGTTATCTTTGTCTATAAAAAGATGTCTCTGCAGGGAGCATGTAAATATTTTGAGAAACAGATAAACACATATCTTTACTATTAGCAAGTAACCTACGGCCCTTGTTTGGTATATCTACATATTAAATAGCTCTGAGTATCTGAGCCATACAACAGAAAAACCCATAACTCTTAAACACTTACTCTTCCAACCCAGCCAGTAGTACTCATTTCAATATGTTGCCGTGACTAGGAGGGAAAAAGACAAAGACAGTGTTTTAAAAATAAGTGATATAGGAATTCAATTCTTTAGTCCTAATTTGTGGTAATATAAATAAAATTGCATTTATAATAAAATAATTAAAAACATTCTCCATTCATATATTTGTATCTGTGTTAGTATTTTTTATATATTATATAATTACTAGAGGCCCAGTGCATGAAATTTGTGCACAGGGGGGGGGGGTCCCCTCAGCCCAGCCTGTACCTTCTCCAATCCCGGACCCATCGGGGGATGTCCGACTGCCGGTTTAGGCCCGATCCCTGACCTAAACCGGCAGTCAGACATCCCTCTCACAATCCTGGACTGCTGGCTCCTAATCGCTCACCTGCCTTCCTGCCTGCCTGGTAGCCCCCATCTGCCCCCCCCACCACCACCAGCCTAGTTGTCCCTCACTGCCCCCCCCTGCCAGCCTAATTGTCCCAACTGACCCACCTGCCAGCCTGGTTGCCCCCAACTGCATCTCTCTCTGCTGGCCTGGTCACCCCTAACTGCCCCCTCTGCTGGCCTGGTTGCCCCCAACTGCACCCCCTGTTGGCTTGGTTGCCCCTCATGGCCCCCCCACAAGTCTGGTTGCCCTACGCAGCCTGCTGTTCAGTCATTTGGTCATCCCTCACTGACCCCCCTGCCGGCCTGGTCATAGGCAGCCATCTTGTGAGGGTGTGAGGGTTAATTTGCATATTACCTCTTTATTATATCGGATATAACTTACCTCTCTTACCTAGAGCTCTGTCCTGGGTCCATACCCACCTGATGCCCTGAAGCTCTACTGGCATTTCAGTTCAACATGTACAGAACTGGGATAACCTCATTATCTTCCCTCCATCCCCACCAGCTTGTTCTTACTCCTTCATTCTTCTCCTAGTTCAAGCATTTCACACTCAAAGGCTACCATGGGCCAAATAAATGAGGCATGCAGCCCGCGGGCTGCGAGTTTGACATGCTTTTCCTAGTTAGTGGCTGATTCACCCAAGCCATAGATGTGGGAATCACTCTAGCCTCCTACTCTTCTGAAGTGACAGTCACTCCCTCAGCCCTTGCCATCTAGTTCTTTGACTTTGCTTGTCCTTGTCCACCACTACTGCTCTAGTTTATGGCCTCAGGTGTTCCTTGGTGCATTGCCCTGATCTCCTGGGTGGAGACCCTGCTGTTCTTCTCTCCTACCAGACAGCTCTCCACCTGTTCAACCCCCAGCCTACTTCATTTGGCAACAGGTAACTCTATCTCACCATCATCCTTTCCTATTTAAAATAGCTCTCATGTCTTTAAGATATGTCCAAAGTCCTCAGAATGGCACCTGAGCCTTATTCTGGATCTCCAACTTCAGTTCTCCCCATTGTCCTTCTCTCCCAAACCTAGGCCTATGTACCCCCACCCCCCCAATCTTGCATGCTCCAACCTATTTACACTGCAGAGCCTCTACTCATAGGGCCTTTATTCCTTTACCTGCCCAGCATATGGCAAGTTATTCCAGAGGGATCCAGGTCTCTCCCACTTCATATCCCATCCCACTGTGTCTGCCCTCGGTCAAGTTGATCTTATTCCTTTTCTCTACATTCCTTGAGCCTTGCTTATGCCCTTCTAGGGCATAATACTCTGATATTGAATAGTTTCATTGACAGGAAGCAAAAAACTTAGGTTTTACACTTTGCATTCAGGTCATTGTGTGACCTTAACCAGCTCCCTAACCTTACTGAGCCTCAGTCTCCACAGTGTGTGGCTACTGTGAGTGTTCAAGAAATGGTAACTATTACTATTGATTTTTCTAATAGTAATGGTATTCCTTACTGGAACATAAATATTTGGCGGAAAGGCATACGGTCTAATTATTTTTTTATTTTAAAAAAATATCCAGTGCTTAGCACAGAGCTGGGAAAATAATAGTGTTTGTTGCATAAAGAAACGAATGAATGAATCAAGAAACGAATGAATGAACTTTCTGAGGTGAAATTCTGTCCTTTTCCCAACCAGGATGGGAACAGTAAGGGATGGTGTGCAGGCCCATTACCAGAAAAGCAATTTGTAGAGGTGTCGCTGACTTACGCCAGCAAACCTCCACCAGGCTTTACTCTCCCTGGGGAACTGGCTCCCAAAGGGGCTTTAATCCTGCTGCACCAGCCTGGCTGTACCCTGTGGTCTCCTGGATGGACAAATCCCTCTCCCCCCTCTCCACCCCGCCCTCTGCTTACCCGGCACCTCAAGGTTGGATCAACACTCTCATTTGCTTCAATGTTGCCACCCTCAGACTGGTAGTTCTATATTTAAATTCTAAAACTGTTTACTGCTTAAAGATAGTCATGGTATGGTATAAATCTGTAGCCTCTTGATATTTGTTTTGTTTTATATATATATATATATTCATTCAGCCAGTCATTCCCCATCCCATGTATTTTCTCTTTTGAAACACACTTCATTGACTGCGCAGAACCTGGCCCTCTGGTACTTTTGAATTTTGACATCAAATTCTATCTTCTGGGTTTCCAATCACCAACCTTCCCAAGTGGCAATTTCCATAACCAGAACAGCATGACCCGTGAGCGAAGGTGAAATAGAAGCACCGCCAGATATCACGTTACAGTATCTAAAAGTTAGTCAACACTTACTTACTGCCTCAGGGTCAGACAAAGAGTTGGAAAGAACAGAAACTCAAACTTCACTTCCTGATGCCCAAACATTCCCTCTCTCCCAGTTTTCACACAGTCCTTTGCTGATAACATGTAGTTTTAGAAGCAGAACATCTCGTCAACCTTACCACTAAGCAATTCCATTTGGGAGTGGACTCATTATAGTCACAAATATCTATTATTGAATAGTTCTGAATCCTCCGGAGCCACTGCAAAGAAATCCTTTCTTTGGTTGCCCATGTCACGTCACACAAGTAGTGATCCCTGGAAGAAAGGAAGGAAGGAAGAAGGGGAGAATACTTATTTCTAGATCTTGGTACATTTAGACATTCTACTCAATGCAATGAATCTTAATGGGAAGACAATTTTAAATGTCTGTTGAAAGCTTTAATACCATTGTGAATGAAAAAGAGGTCTTATGGAAAGCAACCTCACAGGGTGATCTGATCATAAATTCCTAACTGGGCCGGTTATGGTGGGTAGTCATGCTTCAAGCCTATAATGTCTTTAGTAAAAGGTCCATTTTTTGCCTTAAGCAAGCCCTGTTTATTTTAGTGCATGTAGGTAACACACCTTTGAAATGTCTCCTTTTAGACCTCTCAGGAGCAAAACCACCCTCAAGAGAGCACATAATCTTGTTAACTATCCTGTAATCCAATCACAAGCCTGCCTGGCTCCCCCACCCCCCACCCCTTCACATAGTCTTCCCCCTTAATTCAAATGCATAAAAGAAGCTGCAAACTGCCAATCTCCAAAGCATTTTTCTCAGTCTGTTGAGATCTTCCAAGTGTATCCTCTGTTCGACTCAAATTATTTTTTCTAAAAATTTCCACAGGTCATGTCACTACCATAATATTATACCTTTTCTTAAAGCTCAAAGTGTAATTTAAAAAATATATATGTTCTTATTTTTTTATTTTATTTTATTTTTTAGAGAGAGAGAGGCAGGGAGAGGGAGAAAGAAACATCAAATGAAACATAAGTTGATTGCCTCCCATACATACCCTGGCTGTGATCAAACCCGAAACCTGGCATGTGACCTTTCTGTGCACAGGACTATGCTCAGCCAACTGAGCCACACTGGCCTGGGCAAAGTGTAATTTAATTTTAAATAGAAATTAAAATAAATCTGACAAAAGGAAAGCAGCTAACGTTACATGGCAGTTAGCATATGTGGCCCACACCATGACAGGATATTTCAAGTCCTCAGCTTGGCCTTCGGTGGTGCCAGGGAGTCAAGGGTGACATTTTCCCATCACTTTTCTCTCTTGTGGGAATGTTACCGTGAGGCCAGTGACTCTGACTGAGTTTGGAGTATTTTCTGGTAATTTGACGTGCTTCTCTAGAAAATTTTTATTTGGGTGAAACCACAGCTGATCTTTTTCTCAATTTCATTTTTAAAGGGGGAAAAGATTGACTCATATCTCTACAAACTTTGAAAATAAAATAATGATATTCCAAAAAAACTTCTCAGGAGTCAAAACACGAACGATGTGAAGAAATTAAGAAACCCTTTGGCATTTTAAGGTAAATTTATACAAATCGAGATATCTCTAGCAGTGCATTTTCTGCCCACACATACCTTTAAAAGTTTTTGGAACTGCATTTTGATTTGTAGTGTCATGTGTGGAATTCATAATTTACTTTTCTGCTAGCTTTCCTAACACTATTTGCTCTGGATATTTTATTTTATTTGCTCTTCCCACCTCCCATTGTGATTGTGTCTTTTCCACTGACAAAAGCCTGCTTCCAGGCTGGCCCTGTGGCTGTAATCCCTCCCCCATAAAAGCTCTGAAACCCTTCCTTGTTCTTTCCTTCACAGGCTCTGCCCAGCCCTCCTCCAGCACTTAGTGGACTGGAAGCTCTCTGAGGCAGGCCACAATTGTCTTGTTTGCAAGATATATCCCCAAGGCCTGGCAGAATACCTGCACGAACCAAGGACTCACTAAAATTCTGAGGAATGCAGCACTGAAGAAAGGGGGGGAAATGCTATGCCGTCCTTTGTGGCTTAAATAGCTTTCCTTCTGCAGAATTCACAGGTCACTTCCCCGTGCCATTCCCTTTATAGACACTAAATCAAACAATAAACATTTATTGAGCACTTAGGGTGGATCAGGTGCTGGATTAAGCACTTTACAGTAAATCCCTCACCACTTCACTAACCCCCTTTCACAGCCGGGTACACAAGGTGCTCATGCAGCCAGGGTACCAGGGCCTCTAGGCTGTCCCCACATAGGTGGCAGACACTGAAGGAAGACCAACCCCCTTCACCCAGCAGCAAAGCACTTCATCCCCGGAAGCAGGCACTCCCCTCCACGTCAAACTTTTCTTTTATTAAGAATATATATTCAGCGCAGCCGGCATGGTTCAGTGGTTGGGTGTCCGCCTATGGACCAGGAGGTCAATGTTCAATTCCTGTTCAGGGCATATGCCCCGTGGCAGGCTCAATCCCCAGTAGGAGGCAAGCAGGAGGTGCCTGACCAAAGATTCTCTCTCATCATGGATGTTTCTATCTCTCTCTCTCATTCTCCCTTCCTCTTTGAAATATATTTAAGAAAATAAAAATCTTAATAAAAAAGAATGTATATTCAGCCCTAGCCAGTTTGGCTTGGCAGCTAGAGTGTCAGCCCTCAGACCGAAGGGTCTTGGGTTCCATTCCAGGCCAAGAGCAGGTACCTCAGTTGCAGATTTGTCCCTGTCAGGTCACTGGCAGGAGGCAACCAATCGATGTGTCTCTTTCATGTCAATGTTTCTCTCCCCCCCCGCTCCTTTCCCCTCTCTCTAAAAAGTCAATGGAAAAAATATCTTCAAGTGAGGATAAAAAAAACAAAAGTACATTCGTTATCTCGTCTGCATGGCTGGTATTCCTAGCTGCCCCGCTTTGTTCAGCCTGTCCTTCAGTCTGAAATGCCTGTCATGCTCTAACTCCTTTATTTACTCAAACATCCCCTGTCCATGATGATTTCTAGGAAACTCCTCCTCCTACACCACTCAGTCTGATGGTGCTGAAGGGTCTGAGAGTACAAATGTTTCTTCAAATACCCAGGAGCAAGGGTGCCCCATCTAGTCTAATTCTTCATTGTGCCCAATGCATGTTACATGAGGAAAAGGAAAGGCAAATAAATCTGACAGGGAATAACAATACTTGCAAAGGGAATGGAAAAATGCAACACAAAAGAGAAAATGAAACTTTCTGAAATTAACTTTTTAGGCTACGATCAGAAAACTTTCAGGAAAGGACCAGATAGTAAAATTTTAAGCTTCCTGGGCAATATTCCCTCTGTCACAACTACTCAACTCTGCCTTTCAGAGACCGTTAAGTAAACAAAAGAGTGTGGCTGGGCTTTGTGGCAGGCAATAAGACAGGCATGAGCAGAGCAAGGACGATGGGCCAGGTACAGAAGGTCATACCAGTGCCTTCCCCTTTTCATCTCCTTCCCTCCCCCTCTCCCCCCTCCCCTCAAGGATGTCACCGTTACCTTCCTCACATCTAAGCTCCAAGGGCTTTTTCTTTGCCTCTATAACTTGTTTCCTTGGCTCATTTCTTCTATGAATTACTTCTTCTATCTTTGTGATTTTCTAAATAAATGTTCTCTTAGAGTTGGAGTCTAGGCTCTGAATTCTTTCTTAGCCAGAACAGAGGTACTAAGGTTGCTGAACCCAGGTCTGGTCTGACCCCACTGGTCTAGCACCTAGTGCCATTCTTGCCACCCCCAATAGTCCCAAAGAAATGCTGACATTTGAAGTTCATATAATTTTTACATCTCATGAAGTATAATGCTTCATTTGATTTTTCCCCCCAACTATTCAAAAATGTAAAGTTATTCAAACTTGCAAATCATAAAAAATGGTCAGGGAGGTAGGACTTGCCCAGTGGTATGCTCTATATAAGTAGTTCTCACTCTTTTAGGTAAAAAATTCTATGTACATGTGATTACAATTATGTATCTCCACACCCATGTATACACTTTCCAAGGGTTCCATGGGACATCGTTAGGAACCTGGGCTCCAGAAAGAGCCTTCCTCTTTTCTATAGTGGCCTGGCAGGGGAAGGGACAGACAAGGGGGAAAGAAACTCTTACATGATTAGTGGGTCACCTGGTACTGAATGCTTTATCTACTTACAGCCATAAATAATGCTTTCATGTTCACAAATCAGCCATAGAAAGTTTTCCCCATTTGAAAACACTGAGCAATGGAACTTGGGAAGTCTTCCAGGAAACTCACATGCATCTGGCACCTTCCCTGCCCATTTCTAGATCAAAGGTTCATGAGCCTGTATCCTCCACTGCCTTTGTCACTCTCCATAGCCCAGGGTGTACTCTGCACCCTGGGAGTGCCCCGTGAGATAGTTCACCAGCAGAGCATGCAGTAATTTTTGAATTCTAAGGTATACACATTTCTTTTCAATCATAGTTTCTATTTAGGGTTTGGAATTAGCAGGAGACAGCATAAGAGTGCATATCCCAGCCCAGAGTTGAGATCATGACAGGACCAGATGTCAGTGCGTCATGAAAAAGATATAAGGGAACCAATGGCTCAACGGTACTTTTTACCTAAAGGTCGAAGTCTCCTTTTAAAACTAGAAAACCCCAACAAGCAGGATTATCAGCTATACTTTTCACTCCAGTTGATTTTATTCTGCAAAAATCGGGGAGGCAACTGTGGAGTAGACTTGGTTAGATAACGGTTGAGGCGGGGGGCGTGTAGAAGAGGGATTGTGTAGGCAACCTGACCTCCTCTTGAGACAGTGACTGCCTACCCCAGATTTGACCTAGTGATTCAACCAGCTCTTCTAACTTCTGGAATGGGGTTAGTACAATGGGAATAGGGAGCAATGGAGTAATTTCTGGACAAAATAATAGGTTACACCCATGTGGAATCTACTATGTACCAGGAACTGTTCTAAGTGCTCTCTTGACATAAAGCTCATACCCACTGTATGTGGCAGGAATGTTAGAGTTCCTGTTTCGCAGACATGGAAATGGCAGGGCAGAAAGGCTAAGTAACTTGCCCAAGATCACACTCTGGAAAATGCTGGAGCCAGTATTCAAACTGAGCAGCTGGCTTCAGATTTTCCGCTTCCAGTCGCTCCCTCTGTGTAACCTCTACCCATCCCTCTGGTAAACATTGCTAGCTTCACCTTCTTGCTTCTTTTCAGGATAAAATTCCTCACTCTAGGAAATCTATCTATTCCTAGCGAGTGTGTGTAAACTGAACAACTGAATTCGACAAAGCAAATCATATTTGAATGCACTGGGAGA